CTCGTGCAGAAGCCGCCCCTGACGGCTTCGATGGTGACGTCGCTGGAGAACATCGTTCACGGCGAAGGTGACTTCAGTTTCGCTGACAGGTATGCCGCTGGATGCTTCCTTCTTGCAGTTTTCGCGAGGGCGAGGTTCAGCGACATGCAGGGCAGTGGAATTATGACTGAGGACGTTACGACGACTGCAGATGGTCCTAAGGGTTACCTGGAGTCCAGCGTCACGCGCACTAAGACAGCCTACACCTTGGAAAGGAAGACGAGGTATCTGGCTATGTGTGCTCCTGTGCAAGGTTTTACGGACAGTTGGGCTCTCGCCTGGCGGGAGTTGGCCCGCAACGAAGGGCCGACCGTGGGAGTCGATCGGCCATTGCTGCCGGCCCCCGTCGAGAGCGGAGGATGGCAAGAGGCCCCTATCTCTGTGGAGGCAGGCGGCCGGTGGCTCAGGAGTTTATTGTATCGGTCGGGGCAGGACCCCTCGGCCGTGCGAGCCTTGGGGACTCACTCCATGAAGGGCTACTTTGCTGAGCTGGTGCGCAAAGTGGGGATTGGCCAAGGAGCTTCGGATGACTTTAGGCTATCACAGCTCTTCTCGCTCAGATAGTGATGTTGTCTACGGCCGTGACAACGTTGCCCCTGCCCTCCGAGCTTTGGAGCCAATTTTGGAAGCCATAGCTATGAAGCGCTTCAAACCGGACAGCACTCGTTCTGGAATGTTCGAGGGATTGCGCGAGCCTGAGCCTCGCCCTGAAGACGACGAGATTTCTTTGTCATCGGAGGGCAGCGAGGACGAAGAGAACAAAGACTTCGCGGCTGAGGACGAGGCCGTGGATGCTGTCGTGGGGCGATGGGAACCTTCAGAAGGCTTGAGGGATTTCCTTGAGAGAGCTCCTGTATATAGGCATAGCATCACCAGGTTTTTGCATGTGGTGGCCTCCGAAGAGGGGATGCACTTCAAGTGTGGAAGGAGAATCTCAACATCCTATGCGATTTGCGAGAGTCTCCCTGATGTTTTGTTTCCAGTGTGCAAGCAGTGTTGCCCCGATGTCAAGAATGCTGAGATCGGTGGCGAAGGTGACGCAGGGCTGTGATCGACTGAAGCATGCTTGACTTGACTGAGTTGAGCTTGTATGCATTTTGACTACCAGCCGAGTCGCCATCCTTTAAATGGAGATTTTGATTCGTGAAGCATGCCTGACTTGACTGAGTCGAGCTCGTGTGCTATCAGGCCATAACGAGGTTATCGTCTGTGAAGAGCGCTTTGCCCTGCAAGCATCAATAGCACACGGCAGGTGTCCCGCATGAGTCTTGCTTTGCTACTGTTTTGAGTGAGCATTGAGCTTGTAATCCGCAGGGCTAGTCTGGCTGGGAGATCGGAAGCATGGCGGCTTCCTATTCAGATAGTCGTAGCGTCTTCGATGCTAGAGTGGATGCCTGTGGCCTCCCAGCTGATGATGCTACCAAGGTCAAGGCTTC